CCGGGCCGGCCTCCTGGCTCCATGGCACACCACTCAAGGCACAGCTGCTCTACAGAGCTCCCACAGAGATTTGCAGATGAAAAAGAGAGAACGGTGCAGCTGAAAAAACAGATTTTTAATTGCTTTGCGGCTCTATTAGCATTACTTTTGCATACGTTTGTAGTTGTACACATCTCTACGTGCACATTTACAAAACTAGATGAACAGATAAGACAATAAAATAAATACAGTATTTTACAGCTTTTTTTTTTTTCAAACAGCTGCCAAAAAGACCTCCCCCACAAATGCCCCCAAACCCAGCATTCTGTTGAAAAGCATCATTTTCCATTATGTTTTGGTCTATTCTGTTTCCCCTCCAATTTGTAACATTCTGCTGGAAACAGTGATGAAGAACATATGTCTGCGGTAAATTACACCCAGGAGAAATCTTGGAACTGTTACGTTCAGTTTTATTACCCCAGGCATTAAGATGGTCTACCACAACACGTATTATTTAACAGTTCAATCAAACACAACACCACTAACATACTTTTATATTATTATGCATGCAAAAAAATTGTAGTATATTTCTTAAATCTGATTGGGTCATTAACATGTTGCATTTTCATTTTAATTAACAGTTCCAGAATATTTTTAGTGCTTCAGTGAAACAAGGTGTTACATAAATGCAGAATGTTATCGTACAAATATTTTGGAAAACATATGTTCAGGCAACAATAAGGTTGAGAAGCCTAACACTCATCAGCCAGGAAATTGTGAGTGCTTACACTTCTTTCACAATATAAGTTTACGCAATCTTAATCTTGCTGCATCTTAACGTATTCTGCAGAGGACTGTAATCATCTAGGCTACATCAGGGAAACCTAGTGTTGCTAACTGGATGGATAGACTAACATCTCCGAGAATTGCTTTCTTTTCCACTACTGCAAATACTAATCCAGTTTCACTAGGTAACACCAAAACCCAAACATAGCATAAATATCCCCCGTGCACTGACGAGCTGCATCTTTTGCGGGAGGTTTGCACTAGTTCTGTGAGGTACTCGCATCACTGGAGATTTCCTGTAGGCATAGACTCAGGCAAGCCTAAGTAAGTTTACATTTAACAAGTATAATAGGAATAAAAGATACCTCGTATAAACCCAGCTATTACTTTGACTGATGACTTGACCTCAAAAGTCAAGTTTTCTAAAGTTTTACAAGGGTTTTGCATTTTATTTCTCAAGTGACTCCATGGAAACAACAAATAAAACCAACAAAATGTGTATCTGTCAAGATTGCACACCTTCCATGCTTTGCAGAGAAGAGGAAAGCAAAATGCTGAGGCAGCAGTTCAGAGCCACATCTGAGACATGGCTTTTAATTTCAACTTAAACCTATCAAACAGCTTTAGTACAGTGTTGGGTCCAAACCAAAACCAAAACATCAGGTACCAGGTGTATTGAGAAGCAGAGCACAAAGTCCTCTCTGTTCAAAGAAATGTAATCACTAATACCTGCAAATGTAATTTAATGCTTTTCTTCAAGTTCCAAAATGAGTCACACAAAGCTGAGAACACCAGTCCACTTCATGAACTGCAAACTGACACCCCAAGAAAGTTACTTGTTGAGTATCATATAGAGAGTCTCACTTACTTTATTAGTACTTATTCATCATGTGCAAGAATAACTGAAGCTATATTGTTCTAGTTCTCTGCGGTGTTCAGTCCACACACTGAATGCAGCCAGGGCTCATAGAAAATACACTATATAATCATGAAATTGAAGACCGTGCTACAATACACACAGGAATCAGACAATGGTTGCATGGGAAACTGAGTTACTGGCATTTCTCAACTTTGAAGTCCTTGGCTCTGCAGTCCACGTATTATTACTTCTGTAGGCCTTTTTAAAGGCAACAGTGAATTTTGCTATCTGTTGCTAAAACCAAAGCTGTCCAATCATGCATTGCCAGCAGGATTTTAAACTTCAACCTGCAGCTCTGCAGGTTAAGCTACTTACTAAGAGCAGATTCACTGCAGAATGGATATTGAATATCTGGGAACTCAGGTCCCACACGGGAACTCGGGGGCGAGGAGTGAGCCAGTAGGCAGTGTCTTGAACCCACCCAGTAACTGGCTTAGTTTTCTCTCCTGACACATCCAATTTAACATTCTTCCCATCACTTACCTCGATGGAAAGCTAAAAATAAAAGACTCTGAACATTTTGCTTTGGTCTGATCATGACTGAGAGATTCCAAGAATTATGGAAATTTATTTTAGTCTAATTAACTTTTGTGGCCATTTAAAAGCAAAAAAGGTTTTCTCTTGTTTCTGACTTGAAGTAAAATGAGGGTAGAATGCTGTAGGTCTGGACCATGATCTGTCCAGACCTGTGGCTGTTGCAAACTTGCAGAGCTGGGCTGACCTGAAAACAGGCCAACTTGTATCTGCTAAAAGGAATAGCCGGTCTGTAGTTCCCAGCGTGTTCTGCTGGAAGCAGAAGATGTCTCAGCATTATATCTGCTATTGTACCAAAAGGGGAAAATGGTGCTGCCATCTATTCCCCGACTTTCATCCCTGCTACAAAGAAAGTCCTCCTGCTCTGCCTTTGAAAGTAAGCTTGCCGGTGCTCCTACGGTTCAGACTTGCTTTGCCCCTCAAGCAGTGAGCAAAGTACCCAAGGTTTAGAGGGAAGCAGGATGTGGGACACAGGCCTGGCAAAATACAGGTCAAGGAAGAGTAGGTCTAAGGCTGCTCCTGTTTTCTCAGTCTTCCCAATACAACTGTACCATAAACATAGCAAATTACAAATTCAGCAAATTCCACTAACGCTGAGAAAGCAATCTGTTGGATGAATAAAGGCTTTAAAACTACCTAAGGGGCATTCCTAGAAATTCAATTTTATACTTCCCTCCCAAGACAATCCTCGGTTTTGGTCATGACAGTAAGTTTAAATATTTTTTTCCCTCTTTTATGAATAAATCAAAAGAACCCTCATTCTAAATAAGATGTAAAAACAAAGAATGCTGATAAACTAAAAAAGTATGCAAGCAAGGGGAAATACTATCACACACTTGTGCAGAAAGCACAAACATGGTTGTGCTAAACACACAGATACAGAAGAAATAGAAGGATGCAAGGACTCTGGCTTTATGTTATGCAATTAACTTCATCACGTAATAATGACGTGCTTGGTCTAAAACTACATATACTGGGTCTGGCTGGGATGGAGTTAACTTTCTTCACAGCAGCTTGTATGGTGCTGTGTTTTGGATTTGTGGCTGAACCCGCATTGATAACACACGACTGCTTTGGCTGTTGCTGAACAGGGCTTGCACAGTGTCAAGGCTTTCTCTTTTTCATAGTCAGATGCCCCACATAACAGAGTGAATACTTATGCCTAAGAAGATGAATGCTGTACTCCAGACACTCACCATGCTTCTAATAGGCCTCCCACTATGTAAAAAGACAGAAGTAATTTTATTTCGTAAACTAAAGAATCTTTGTACCGAAACATTCATTCGCATGTTCATCTGCTCAGAAGATGAGTGCAAACACCCAGATACTCACTTTTGCTCAGGAAACATGCACACTGGAAATCAAGCACACAAGTATTTCATAAAAACTATGGAATTTTTGACAGGTTATGGAACATAAGACAAGCACAATGTCTATTTTGATCTCCATCTGTGCTTGCAACTGCATAACCTGAGAGCATAGAGAGCAACAAGGGAAGCATCTATGTACACAGGAATGCAGCTTCTCTTTGGTACTCAACTGAAGTTTTAGGGACTTCAAATCTTCCCATACTTACATTAGGCACAACAAAGAGCAGCTGATAAAACTGTGATTCAAAACACTGTCAGTGATGGGAGAAAAGGCAAAATATGAAAATGAAGGTTTATGAACGACTGCACTGCACCCAGTAGAAGACACCACTGAAGTTGTCAGGGAAGCACCATGTAGTGGACAAGATGTGCAGCATGTATTGAAAAACAGGAGAGCAAAAGTCTACAAGAAGCCTGGAACACTGCAGGCACCATGGCTGGGAGTATTAAAATAACAGCACAGTGCAAATATGACTGAACGTGCCCATTCCTGTAGTAAGAGTCTTTTAAGCATTACAGTATTTTACACTCAAAGCAATAGCAGACTGGTCAGACCACACTTGTATCTTGAAGTAGAAGCGCCCACAGAAAATAATACCAGAATAACCAACAGCAGCATTATTCCACTTCCCTTGAGACTCCTCACTTAGACCCACTCTTGGAAAAGGTTTTCAATTGCAAGCTCCTCACAACATCTTGTTTTATGTTCACATGCTCCCTACCTCAAAGATGACCCGGTCAACAACCTGCTCACTATTAGAAAATATTGATAAAACTGAGAGCAGGAATTGAGATCCCTTCTGTCATTCAGATATGCCACCCTCGAGCCACAGTTCGTTCATTTTAATGAATGTTTTTAACAATTATTTTTTTTCTAAAATGTGACACTGGCAGCAAGAGGTTAGGGTTTTCCGAATCTGTGAGTGCTCATCTAAAAAAAGGCTTAGTGTGCTATTTTTAAAGGCTAATGTTCATGTTGTTTCAGCAAAAAGCTCAATGTTGGTTTTAGACACATTTCTCCTTTTACGCCAGACAGGTCAGCTCCTCGTATTCACAAAGCAACTGTGGTTCACTGAACGTGTTTCCAGAATTAATTTTGACTTCCCAGGGTCAACTTTACACTGATCAATGAAAGAAACTGTGGAAAAGATTACCTTATGAAAACACACAAACTTTGCCAACCTTTAACAAAAAGAACAACTTGTAGAGCTTTCATCAGACTCAGCACTCTTCAAGGACAGCTGTCAGCATTTGGCATATATGAACATGGGAGATGGAACAAATCTACAGGAAATCCTTGTGCTTACTTATGTACCCTCATCACCACAGACGAGTCAAGTTGCTTTGATATGTTTCTCCCAGTTCCCGTGTTCCCAGCCATCCAATTTCTCATCACACAAGTAGAATCTTACCTGTTATTTTCTGCAACAACGGAGATGGTGCTGGCTCATCACAAACGGCCTTGACTAGAGCCTTTCTCACCTCTTCTTCAGCTGTGTCCAGCTCTTTTCCACTTTTGATTTCTCCAACCACAGAGTACATGTATACCAGCAAGACAAGGAAGTCCTCGCAGGTATAATCATCTTTTGTCCTCTCGTTGTAAGGCTTTATCATTGGCAATAACTGGTTCAAAACACTGGGCATTTCTGACTCGCCAATAGTCTGAAAAACAGAAGGAAGATCATGTCAGATTGCCCCTGTAGTGTCTATCAGTTAGCATCAGACATAACTCCTGCCTGCATCTGCAAGTTACTATTTCTCATTATAGCAGTGCTCATTTAATGAAATAGTGTTCAGTATTTGCATTCTCATTTGTCAACACATGGTCCTGTGACTTATTTGCTGCTCAGACAGCAAATTTATTAGTTTCCTACAAGTTTTTTCCTAGGGACTCATGATAGCAGCATCTTAGCACTTGAAAAGCCTGATGATTAGATCTTCTCCATGTACCAATACGATGAGAGGACAGGAGCATCAGTCTCTGCGGTATGCGTAGAGTAAATGGTACAAAGCACAACGTCAAATGCTTCCTCTAAATTTTGGGCCTAAACTTGAACTTGAGCAGGGAGTTCAAAGCCCAGCTCCCAGTGACTTCAGTTGCTATTGTGAGCTCTCAGCACATCTGCAAACCTGAGCCTATGCTTCAGGTCAGAAACCCAGAAAATTAGAAACAGAGAGAACCACCTGTGAAGCACGTGGTTTAAGTGACCGGCACATTTTCCTAGAAGAGCTCTATGACAGGAGCAAGGACAGGGCAGCAATCACCGGCCTGGGGTGTGCCCTGACCCTCTTCTCCCTCTACCTCCTTCACAGCACATGCATCAGCTTCTCAAGCCATGTAACAGGGGACTTCCACATCGAAAAAGCCTTCTTTGCCAGGCAGGTCAGGCTCATTCCCACAGCACATCCATGCTGCGAGGCGAGCACAGCAAAGGCAATGTGGAAGCAGGAAGAAGTAAGCGACCACGAGGCTGAAAGATGATCATAATACGTATATGAGGAGAGGAAGGCTGGCAGAGAAATGTAGGGGGAAACTGAGAGTATGCTGGGATGTCCTAGGTCCTCAGTAGTTGAAATCGCATTTGCTTCTTCTCATCTCTGTGGGAGAGGTGTCTGTATCGCTTTAATGTACTCATAAAAAGGAAACTTTGGACACGAACCCCTGAAGTGCCACGCCGACATCCACATCAGGTAACACCAGGGCTGGGGTTTATATCCACCGTGTGGGTCTCTGTCACTCAGGACAGCGGGGTGACTAATCGTACAGGCAAACTGCCGCCCTCGCTGCGCACACACACCTGCGTATGCAATCCTCACACGCCAGTTTTCTGCTGTGGGTTAGTTTGCAGCTCGGCAGTGGGATCAGGTGAGAAGCAAGGCCAGTGCACGGCAAGGGGAGGGAGGTGTGGTAGCAGAGAACAGCCTTCCTCTCTCGGTGGCACTGATCGCTCCAGTCCATCCAAGAGGTCTCCTTCAACACAAGTACCCTGTCCCTTACCCTCTGATCACCAAACAGCTCCCTGTGAAAACCTGCGGGTCAATTCATAGCGTACAGCTAAATATCGAATCTCTTATAATCCAAAGAGTCAAGTCTGCAAACATTTATTCTTGGTTGTTACTACAGTAACTTCAAGCAGACTGGTCATGGTAAACAGGCACCACAGCCAATAATATACTCTGTAAACAGACTCACAATAAGTAATAAAATACAAACCAAACAAATCAGAGACACAGGTTTATGCAATCACAAAATAATGCAATTCAGTTTATCACTGCTTTTAACTGCATTAATTTAGTTCTGAGCTCTTCTGACAACTGAGTAGTTTTTTCTGAAACCTGGGCAGGGATTTCAGAGTCTAACTTTAGGAACATGGAAACTGAAAGTTTTATCTCCTGGTGTACTCCATACAACTTCAGGGGGTCTTGGGTTTGGTTGTATTTTGTTTTAGTTGTTCTCAACAATCTCAGAAACACTAACAAGCATCTCATAAACTGTAATTTTTTTACCTACACCGATCCACTACAGATCTCGATCATTAAAGAAAGCACAAATTACTCAAGCTCTCAAGAAACTTTTTTCCAGCCTGTGCTACAGGAAGCAACACTTCTGTGGACTGCAGGCCCCACCCTGCTCCTGACATACAAGTTTTGCCACGGACTCATCTTTCAAGGGACTTTAATGTGGTCAGATGTTCTGTTTCTAGTCAAATACATACCTTAGAGAAGAATTTTCTAACTACCCACATGCTAAAGCTAACTGTAAGTGCAACTGTGGACTTGAAGCAGTAAATTACAAAGCTACAGTGGTCAAAAACATGTGGGAGCCAAAAAGGAACATTTAGAAATCCGGGAGTGGTTGGCACCCTGTGTGTGCTTGGGCAGGGAGCGTTAAATCACATGCACAGCAAGCCCAGGCGCTGCTCAGCCTGGGAAGGGAATCCATGGTGTTTGGCACTGCTGTGGCATACGCTGGCAGCTGGGCCACCCTCAAGACAAGGCTGTCGGTTCCCAAATTTCAACTCAGCCCTGCCTCAGTTCAGTATTACTTGCTCTCTTCTTGAAAAGTGACACAAACACATTCTCATCTGTACGCCAGTCCAATAAATATCAGGTCATCCAGATCCCAAAATGGAAAAAGACAAAACTTCAAGGAATTCAGAGGTACAGAGCTACCGGGAGGAAGCCACTCGCAACGAACAAAAGCCTAATCAATCCTGAAAATCTAGAACTGAAGATTAACCTACATGTGGAGTTATTCTGAAATAGATGACAAACTTCAATCTACATTAATCTGAATTCACTTTTAAGGAGAGGCAAGCCCTATGCCACATATTATTGAACATTATCTACCACTTACTGGCACACTGTCTATTCCCCCCTGCCCTCCCAACACACAAACTCTCTACTTCACCCCATCTCTAAATATCTCGTAGCATGCTCCTGCAACACCAAAGATGAGTTCCTGAAAAAGCTCTATTTTGCATGCACAAACTATCCAAATGTGCAGAGCACTGAGGATGCACGCGGTCGCATAAAACACTAGAGTCAAGCTTGAGGACAGTAGCTCCTGGAAGTACACGTGTACAGCATCTCTGGCAAACTTTCAAACATACATGATAAAAAAACCCTGGATCTAAACTTTCAAGATGATTTACTGTAGGGCGGGCTAAAACTCAACAACTTAAAGCAACAATTGCCACCTCTTATCTTCAAAGTAAAAATGAAAGAGAAAAAAAAAATTAAAGAGCTATAATAAACCGTTAACTTCAGAACGCATGTAGGGTCTTTCTGGGGTATGAACTTCTCTGGAATGTTTTTCCCTTATCTCTTGGGAAATGGCACTACAGAGGACTTCAAATGGAACTGCCAAGTTTCAGAGGCTATTTTGTCCAAACAGGCCAGTTGGACTGGAGTTTGCATGGAAAAAAACAAGGGACTCGCAGCCTCACTGCAGAGCACGGCTCCACAGGGAGCTGGGAAATTTGCCTCAAAAAAAATCCACTGGCAGATTGTCATTATCTGGCCACCTCCGATGATTTAGGGGCTCCCTGCATGGCCTAACAATCAATCAATTACCCTGATTGAACAACCCTAAAACATAAGTTTTAAAAATGTAACTACCCATGACCCAAATTTCCTGCTGGTTATGTTGGCCTCAGGTTAGCCCCATTTGTCTATTATCAAGGGAGCCAATAAAAATAATAAAAACAGGTCAATTCTGAGCTTTCCAAAAGCTGCATAAAAACATTAACGCTGCTTAATGCAGAGCCAGCTAAGGCCCAAGCTCTAACACCTTCTGCTCGGTTGCATTGTTTGGACATTTTAATGATACAATCATATATTCTTCAGAAGCCAGGGACAGTTTGTTATAGATTTTTGTTGTTTTCCATCTCTTTCCTCCACCCTCCTTAGTTATTTATTTTTATAACTTAAGCTGCGTAATAATTTACTATCCCTAAGGGTAAATGAACTGACGTCAATTTGCTGATTTTTGCAAAACGCCTGAGTTTTGGCAGATGGGAGGATAGTGAAGAAAGTACAGACATCATTTTTTCAGTTTTTAAACACTGAACATGATATTGTGCTTCAAAAGTGATATTTAAAATGTGATTTAAAGGGTCTACAGGAATTAAGAGGAAGTGTAATAAACCCAAGAAAAAATGTTTTGCATTTCTGCAAGAGGCATTATTTTCAGTATTAAATAAACCTGTAAGAATCTAAAGCCCTATGTATCATTAGACATCTTTTACACAACAGAAAATAGACTGCGCTGGGGAGGAAGAGGAGGGTCAGAGTTTACTTGAATTAACACGTGTCCCTGACAAAATTGAGAAGAGAACTGAGCACTCTAATCCCTGTGCTTCCAGCCCACTGTCCTCAACACATCATTAAAAATATTAAAGCAAAAATCAACTTCAAGCAAGTGGAATTTATTTTCTTTTAAAATCCAGGAGGAAGGAGGAGATAAATCTTAAGAGACTACTTTACTATGTAAATATTCTAGCGGCTCTTCGTTTAGGAAGCAAAACATGTTTAATTCCTTCAGAGGTCGCATGAGTTAACAGAACTTTTTGGAATGGGAACCACAGTTTTACAACAGTGAGGAGTTTTATTGGGGAAAAACAAAACTAAAAAACAACCCGAAAACCAGCTGCAGGTAAAACCAGCAGAAGGATCAGCAGAAACTCACAAGCCCTTGGAGTCATTTGCTGCCCCACGCTCCTGCACCACCCTATTTAATAGAAGCTCCTTTTATTGATAACTTAGGTGGGAAAAGAGGATTCATGACTTGTGGACTAAGCAGCTTTCCGATGTTGCTCTATTTGATTTGTCATGTTTTACCTGGGTTTGATGTTCTGCATTTCGTGATTTTGCCATGCAGTGTATTAGCTTCCCCACTATCCAGACGAAGGCAGACTATCCTAGCTGCTAAATTGACCATGGCACCAAGGGAGGACCTCATGGGTATGCAAAACCAGCTCAGATCCTTCGATGGCAACAGATCTCTGCAGCAGTAGTCATCTCAGCGAAAATGAGAGACGCTGCCAAGCTGAGGAGGAGTCTTAGCTGCCTGCAGTGCTCAGCTGCCCATAAATCAAATGCTGCTGTTCCGTTTCTTGCTGTTTTACACTGTTTGGCCACCTGAGATTTGGGGTTGATTG